TATTTGAAATAAGCTGGTATTTTTTCGTATCGGACAATAATTCAACTCGAATAGTATTTTATTTTAACGATTCAAATAATGATTAATACAAATAACGAAATGTACATGTAAATACTCTGAAACTAAATATTCTCTACTCTATTTTCCAAAATAGAACAAATACAGTAATCTTTAGAATATCAACAATTAAAAATTATCTTAAATGATTAATACAAATACATTTTCAATAATTACTAATCATTTTACACCTGTAAGTTTAAATCCTTTGTGTTTACTATGCGGCACGAACCACCAAATTCAAATATGTTTTAACAAGTAATAATAACAAGTTAATCATTTATGATCCGCTTTCACGGTTTTGTTATATATAACGTTGTACTTGTTTAAAAAACCTAATTTATAAATTTAATCAAACATAACAATTGAACATTCATTTTTCAGTGTTCTAGTTAGATTATTTCACTTGTAGAGACTAATTTCAAATAACTATTTAAAAAGTATCTTTGTTAGTAAAATGACAAAAAATTATTTGAGAAATTAATTATATATTACATGATACGATTAATTACGAGAAACGATATTCAAAAACTACACTCAAGAACCACGCTAACTACGGAGAAAGACGTTACGCCTATAACGCGAAACGCACATAAACGATCTTGCCTTTTCTATTCGCAGAAAATTGACGCTATAGTCTCTTATAAGACGTGATCCAAGAAAATTTTGAAATAAAATTGTATAAATAGTGTACACACACCTTACAGTCAGTGCGGGACGTACAGCTGTCGGGGTCCGAGCAATTATTTATTCATCTATGCCTTACACGTGCCATTACCGAAAATATACACCGTTGGCTTCTGTAAGGATCCAACCACCTTTTGCACACACTTATCTCTTTATTGTTCCTTATCTCGTAACGTGTGTTTTTGCGTTTCAATTAACTCTGTTGCTGTACTATTATTTGAAAAAAGAAACATGTTTTCTTATTAATGATTATGATAGTAACAAAGAGCCATAATGATAGTAACTGTCGAGAGTATTGTTTAAATTTGAATCAGCCTTACAAGGACTTGTTAGTTATAACCAGGACTGAATAAATTATTTTTCTAATTTAATTCGAAAATGAGAATATGTTGGTTGGAAAATAGAACTTTTATATCTTTCATTCTCAATAGTAAATATACAAAAATATACAAAGATATACAGGGTGTCCCAAAAATGTTGGAGGTCCTTGAAAGGGGTGGTTCGGGAGGTGATTTGAAACAACTTTTTCTTTTGCAAAAGTGTCGGGTGGGGCTTCGTTAAGTAGATATTAATAAAAAAACCCGACCAATTAGAGCGCGCGGATACCGTTCGAGCGGCCGCGTCAATATCCTTCGATGCACGGCGAGTCACTTGTTCGCGTACGAGAGTGGCTACCTAGCGCGTAGCCATTGCTATCGCGGCCGCTCCAACAGTATACGCGCACTCTGATTGGTCAGTGTTTTCCGTTAATATCTCCTCAACGAAGCCTCGGATAACAATTTCGTTAAGGAAAAAGGTGTTTCAAATCACCCCCTGAACCACCCTTTTCAAGGACCTCTAACATTTATGGGACACCCTGTATATGAAGTAAGGTTATATTTCGTTCCGCGGAAACATCGATCGAATGATTGATGTATTCGACGTTTTTCGGGCGGTTTCGCGAGATATCGTGGCGCGCGTTGCCGTTTTGTTCGAGGCAAGCGGCGTAGAGTAGTCCTTAGTCGTCGTGCGATGTAACGGTTGCGTCAACTCTTTTTTTTATATACTTCTTCAATTGTATGTTCTAAAATATATCTTATGTTCTAATTTCTAACACGTCTCATATATTCGCCGCCCTCGATCATCCCAAATCCTACATATATAAATGCATAAATATTTGAAATACAACAAAAAAATGCTCGTTACGATATTTAGAAGACAAAACATACTTTAATCTATGTTGTGTTCTTCATCTGTGTATATAAAAATATGAATTTCCATAAACATCCGCAGTGTAGTCATTAGAAAGCATAGTTTATTTTGGCAACAAGATTATGGCGTCTCGCAATGCATGTATATGAAGTGTTTAGAAAGCGGAAAAGGAAAAATACCATAAAAAAAATTTGTTTACCATATACATACATAAAATAAAATGCGCATGCGCAGATCATTTGATAAATAAAATAGAAATGTCCTAAGGCTTTCTATTTTCTGAAGAAACTTCTTGTTGAAGTTTAATTATTTTCTTATTCGACTATGGAGAATGGCAGCTGAATCACACAGTCACAAAATGGAAAGCCTACAAGCACGAATATAATCATATACAATTTTGTATATGGTTATGTCAAATTTATACTGTACATTATATATAATTTGTATAATCGTATATTTTGTATATACTTTAAAAAAAATATTTCTGATCATTGAGAAGATGCTTCGAGAACGATGAAAATGATTGAAAATTGAAGAAAAGTAGATATTCCTCGTTACTGATTTAACGAGTAATTAGTGAATTTTGACTCTCCTCGTGTCCTATACTTGTTATAACTAATTTCGACAGTTTTTTAATTCAATATATATTGTACACGCAATATATTCCTCTTTCTTGACTAGCCTGGATTAACGGTAACAACTGATTATGTATTATGTGTTTAGCTATGTGAACTTGGCAAGCGACTTTTCAAAAATTAATTTTTTTTTATTGAAAACGATAGTATTTCGTTTGTACCTGATTGTACCTCCAATAGTTTCGTTTGTACCTCGACCAATTAATAATTAAAAAAAATTCAAAAAATGGTCAGCACCCGACATCGAGATTCTTGAAATCGGTTTCTCCCGATTCTCTAGAATCGTTTGTACCCGTCTGTACCGCTTTTCATTTCGTTTGTACCTCAATAGTTTAAATTTTACAAGCAATGGTTGATCCGCGTAAGAGTGAAGTTCGGTAATTTTCAAGATATTTAAAATTTGTTTATTCTCGATTCTTGAGAATCGTTTGTACCCGCCGGAATTGCTTTTCTTTTCGTTTGTACCTTAATAGCTTAAATTTTATAGCAATTGTTGATCCGCGTAAGAGTGAAGTTCGTTAATTTTCAAGATTTTTAAAATCTGTTTTTTCCCGAATCTTGAGACTCGTTTGTACCCACCGGAATCGCTTTTCTTTCCGTTTGTGCCTCAACGTTACCGTTGTAGTAAAATTAAACCTTATTGCGTTACTTTGCTCGTCCAAAGTAACTTAAGCGAGAAAGAGAGGCAAGCATTTATGGCCTATCGTACAGGGTGATGGGGTCAAGCATGCGGCGAAACCTGATGGAATATGTTCAGGCTTTATGTGACTACCGTGAAAAATAGAACTAGTACAATAGATCCTTACCAGAATACATTTAAATCTTATATAAATGCCTAATCAAATAATGCAAGTACTTAGAAGAATACGTGAATTCGTAGCTATTTGGAATACTGTTGTGTCTGCCATGCATCATGTTTACTTATTAATTACATTTCCGTTATAGCCTCTTTGAAAATTAATACTTAAAATTGAAAACACGTGTAAAAATAAAAGGAGAAAAGGAAAAATAATTGAGGGACATAAAAAGCATTGTCGTATTGCGAACATAGATCTAAATTATCGAAAATAATACCAGCAATATTCATATATCATTTTGTTTAGAAAATTGAAAGAAACACGTAATTCTTTGTTGATTATTATTCAAATATTTTCAAAGTACGTATGTTGCCTTTAATAGTGTGGTATATTAATATCGAAGTGGAAACATTTTTCATCTAGACAACAAATTCGAGTAACAAATGCAAAATAAATAATATCTGAACCCGGATTAAATATTTTTTACCTATATAAAGGTAACTAAATCCCTTTACCACTACGTAAAATTATGTTTATACCAAGTAAATATGCTTAAAGATCAATCATGTGAGTAGTCATTAAAGAATTTATTACAATGTTGAATGTTTGGGCATCAGGGAGGACCTCCTTCAAAAAATAAATTCTAAAATTAAATAAAAATGGAAAATGAGAAATAAAATATGAAAAATCTAACAGCAGGAACAGCTGAATTTCGGAAACCCTAATACCTAAGCATTGATGTATGATCCATGACCGCGATGTTATTGTTTTTATATTTTGGATTTAGTACAGGCAGAATAGTTTACCCTCCTTTATCACCTTTCATTATCAGTAGATTTTACAATTTTTCACTTCATATTGCAGGAATTTTAATTATTACAAAAGCAATATATCCTACCACTCGTATTGTCATACATATAAATATAGTTGTAGTGCCTTAATCTAATTCATTCACATCGATGTACAGATAAAAAGGAAGACAACAAAATTATTTAATTCATAGGAAGTATTATTACAAAAATATTTACGATAGTAAAATGATAGAATATCGTTACAAAAATTAATATATTAAATTAATGCACAATTATCCGGCGTTTTCTCTTTCTTACCGTTTTATCACTTAGCATTATTTTTTTTTGTTTTTTGCATACCAATAATCATATTCGTTTGCATTGTATCATGCTCTACTACTTTGAAAAAAGATGGGACCCAGTTATTTCATGATCTGAACGATTTGATTGGCAGAAGACCGTTCAGTGAAAGTTAACGTCGAAAGTGGTTTGCTCACATTGAAACTAACGATAAAAGCTTTAAGAACAAGCTTGCTGTATGGTCATGGATGTTGACCATTAGATTTGGATAACCAAGTCTTTGTAGTAGCTGTGGAACAGGACGAAAGAATGACATACGATTTGAATGAACTTGTGGCCAATGTCAAACCCTGAATAGCCTAGAAGAAACAGCAAATAGAAAGCAGTTCCTGAAGTAGACAACGAATATATTTCATAATAATCATTCTAAAATTTTCTGGGTGTATTTTTATGTTCAGTTTTTGGACAAATATAGCCTTTAGAAAACGCTGGATAATTATGCATCAACCTAATATACCTAATGTAAGACCTAGTACACCTACCACTTTTCCCGACTCCTGGTGCTCCGATCACAGCTACCTTCACCTCGCACAGCGAACTCTTCTTCCTCCGAATGCCTCTAATCGCATTTGACGTCATACTCCGCGCATTTGTCACTGCACAAAGCATAACAGAACAACCATGTAGCGCGATGAAATAGAATTGTCGAACAAGTGGATAACGCAGCGCGTGTGTGGTCCGCGGTTATGTTCGTGTGAATCGCAAAAATTCATCACGGCTACATCTTTCCTTGGCAGGTTTCCACGGGCAACGATAACGCCTCCTAATTTCGTATAAAACATTCGAAGCCGACACAGGTGAAACCCCCCCGTCACGATGCACGCGCGTTTGCCAAGGAAAACACGGGGTGGAAATCGCATTCGCGGTTAGTTAATAATACAGTCGTACGAACTAGCAACAATAACATCTATTTCACGGAACTGCGCGATTCGAAGATGCTATCGAAATTACCGATGGTCTCGTTCACCCGTTACTGATCTCGATATACCGATCACAAGGAGAAATGCTAAATAAGGACGCTACTTCGTGAATTTCTTTCTCTTAAACACTATTAATAATAGATTTTTCAAACCTTACTTATTTGTTTCTATATATTTCGAGAAGATATGTGTTTATTTTTCTAAAGAAGTAATATTAATTTATAGAAGAAATATGTGAACTAAAGTGCTTTGGTATACATAAAAACACGCGCTCCTGATGTCTCCGATTTCTTGAGCTCTTTAGTCTTATTTTGTAATAACTTCCTAGAATTCGTTTGTTTGAATTGCTGTGTAAACATTTTAAATACGACCTAAAAAACTTCAAAAAAGTAAAAAAATTACGGCAAGTACATGAAAAAGTGGAGGACTTAAAGAGTAATCATAGAAAAATAGAAGATCCTCCTAAAATAATTCAAGAAAGTAGAAAAAGAAGTGAAATCAAAATGAGCTACCAGTACGTGAAGGTGGTTTCCAGCAAAGTGCAAGGGCGACACTGTATAACACAATGAAAAATTCGGTGCTTTCCAACTATCCGCAGCTACAATGCTGTGTTCAACAGTGCAGACGTTCGGACCCTAATCACAACTCATGTAAACTGACTGCTCCGCACTTTGGCGGTGAAATGAAGAAGCTAAATAGTGTATCAACCACAAACTGAGACTGTTTAGACATTTGCCTAGATGTCCGTGGCCTGGAAGTCAAATGCTTGGCGTGGCCAGGCAAGGCATTCTTAGATCATTAATAGCCATACTTTCTCTCTCAGAGACTTTCAGATAATTTGTCAATTTAAAACTCTGACAATATTATGAGTACACTTTCATTGTTTTCCGTTTTAAAATAATTCTTATTTAAACACTTTGGCCTTGTCTGGCCACGCCAAGCATTTGACTTCCAGGCCGCGGAAATCTAGGCAAATCATCTGGCAGCTTATTTAGAATTCACATCTTTTTCTATTTTCTTGTACTTTTTTATGGGGATCTTCTATTTTTCAATGATAACTCCTTGAGTCCTTTTCATGTACTTGGTGTAATTTTTTTACTTTTTTGAAGTTTTTTATCGGATCTCACTTCTTTTTACAAATCATTAATTATATAGAATCTATTTTAAATTTATAAAAATAAAATTGATATTTCTGTAAACTCTACATCAAAAGTCTAAATTATTATTTATTTCTTTAATTGAATAGAGTAAAATAAAGGGAGAGGGGATAACAAAAGCGAATATATATATTTCATATAATTTATTAAATATAAACACTTATTCGTTCAATTTATAAATAATAGTGCATACCTGCAATTATTTTCTTGCTGCAAGAAATTTTAATGTTAATGATGAAATGAGAAAATGACTCCATTTCTATAAGCTCTACATAAAAAGTCTAAATTAAAAACACTTTAGTGATATGGATTTGTGATGAAAATGGATAAACATTTTACAACGGTTGCTGCAATTTGTTAACGAATAACCTCCAAACCTGTGGTCCCCTTCATTTGTATAAGCTCTACATAAAAAGTCTAAATTCAAAACACTTCGGTGGTATGGATCTATGTTAAAAACAGTTTTCTGTATGAATAAAGGTATCTCGCAATTCAGATTTTGACAACTTACCTTGTAGTCAAGACTGATCAACACTTTACAACACTGGCTGTAATTTGTTATTAAACCCTACATAAAAAGTCTAAATTGAAAACATTTTGCTGATATAAATATAATTAATAATGCAATAGTGTAAAAACTTTTGACACTTGGCAGGTTATGAATGATGAGATCTGTTTGGACTCTCGACACTCGATGGCCGCCGGAGCCATGCCGAACCGAATGATTCCGAGAGTCGACGAACGACACTCGACTTTTGCTTAGCTCCTATTGGCTAAGGGTTGACGACGAGAAAATCATACGAAAAATACTGTTTCTGACAAATTCGTGACATAATATTACTATATCTCAGTTGATCGTGGACCGATTTTATTGATTTTGGTTTTATTCGAAAGCTTATATGCGGTTTACATCAGAAAAATGCCTTTAAATTTAGAAAATATTGCAGGCGTGTTGAGATATTTATGAAAGAAGTTTTAGGTTAGGTTGGAATGGACCATCTCTCCTGTAAAAGATACATGGTAGCTCCAACGCCATATATACGCGGTGACGGATAATTTTTCATGTACTTGGCGCCGAGACGCTACCACGTCTCTACATTAAAATTACGATTATTTAAAGAAAGAAACTTTCTCCTGTCTAATATTTTTGTCGAGAAAAGGAATCTACGGAAATTTCTAATATATATATATTTTTTTTTTAAAAGGAAACTCTTCTCTTGGCTCAAACATGACCTAGTGATTATAAATCACCAAATTGCCTATAATTTCAGTCAAAGAAATGTCTACAGATGTTGGATACTCTGGTCATTTGTTGTTGAACAAAGAAACCTGGGTCCAGTATGACCCAGTGATGATAAATCACTAAATTGTCTATAGCTTCAATCAAAGAAATACTCATAGATGTTGGGCACTCTGTTCATTTGTTTTCAAATCAAGAAACCTGGGTCAAGTATGACCCAGTGATACCCAAAGTTTCGATATACACCTGCTGATTAAGATCTTCCAAAACGTTTTATTTATAAAATGTATTTAAACAAGTAGCAACTGGCAATATAGGATAATTCGGTTGGATCGTGCGCAACCATAACAGGTTCGCCTTCGATCGACGAGCTTGTTCACCCGTGACGCGACTTACGTACCGCGGCGGTACATTGTTAGACGCCGGAGTAAATTCCACGGATTCCACGGAACATGTGCGACTGTTCTATTAATGTACCCATCGCGTCGTTCTATCTCTCTTCATCGAGGACTCGCGCGCACCTCTATCCCGCTCTTTCTCCGCGTTTCACCGCTTCCATTCCCCTCTTCGACCTCCCGCGGTCCATGGAAGAGGAGTGCGGTGTATTTAAACTTTCGTTCGAAAGGGAACACGAGGCGAATGCCTCCGGAGATCGTCCCAGATGGTCCCGTTTTCATTTCGAACGTCGATTGTACTTTTACGAGGTTAGGAGTACTTCGAAGGGAGGCACTGATTCATGAATTTTTTTTTATGCTCGATTCATATATTTTGTAATTAGTGTTTCTCAATTCGAAAGATATATATTGTTGTGTTTTAAAGGATTTTGGGATATTGTGGGTTTCGGAGCGTTTAAAGAATTGGAATTCACCGGTGTTCGACGATGAGTCGAAGGATCGGCCAGTGTGAAGCTGGCCCCACCTATATAAAAAACTCAAAATTTTCTTTTTACATACGTTTTTTTTTTGCAAACGAAAATTCCACTTGAGCAAACGTGAGCAAACGAAGACAAAACAAAATCAAAAAGAAAAATTTGAGTTTTTCAAAAAGGTGGGGCTAGTGTGAAGTTGGCCCCACCTAATTTGAATCGCCTGTATCTTTTGAACTAAAGACGGGCAAACGAAAATTTCACTTGAGCAAACGTGAGCAAACGATGAGCACACGTATGCAAAAAGAAAATATTGAGTTTTTCATATAGGTGGGGCCAGCTTTACACGGGTGAAGGATCGGAACTCCAGCGATGTACTCTCAACAATGACTTTATCCGTTGCTCTTTTTACAAAGTGTTATCGTTTTTATGGCCTCCGTTGGCAATCGGGCATGACCATATATGGTCATGCTGCTAGGACATTCTTAACCGGGCATAGGCGGGTCGTTACCCGATTAGTGATGGTCGATCGTATGTTGCAATATTCGTGTGTCAGGGCACAACAATATGTTTAGAGATGTAACACAAGAATTTTCATTCAAGGATTAAAAATTTCTTGGAGATGAACGATTTACTAGAGAAGATACGTTTTACCAAAAAGATATGGTTTTGTGGCGAGCAATGCTACACAAATCTGGATTTTCGGAAATAAAAAATTTCAATGGATTTTTTTAAAATAATGACTCAAAATGCTAGTTATTTTCTAACTGAAAAAATGCCTTAAACCAAAATACTTGGCCGAATATTGACTATAAATCACCTGCAATATAATAATGACCATAAAGCATTTATAAAATAACTAATATAGAAATAATAAAAAAACCATTTACGATTATTTTTAGTAAAAGCAAATTAGATATGTAGAATGAAACACTAATAAATAATTAACATCGTCATACAGAACGAATGTTATACGTCACGATTCATAAACCACACTAGACATTCTTATTTTGGCAAAAAGGAGAAAAATACAGTTTTTTTTATCAAGTCTGAAATGATTAAAATACAGATCCATTTACTAAATTTCAAGATGATATCTAGAGACGCGGTAGCGTCTCGACGCCAAGTACATGAAAAAATAGCCTGCCCGTATATGCCTGGCGCTGGCGTTACCGCGTATATTTTACTCGAGAAAACGCGATTCCAACCTAACCCAAAACTTCTGTCATGAATATCTCGTCACGCCTGCTGTATTTTCTAAATCTAAAGGCATTTTTCTAATGTAAATCGC